TGTTCCACTTTCTAAAATGATATGTGAGTGTACCTCGGTCCCCAGCTAATTTCTTCTCCTCCTTTCTATTTTCTAATAATCTTTTCTTAATCTCCAAATAAGTTGGTGGTTTTTGTCTATTTTTACTATCTATACATATCATATATTTTATCAAAATTATGATATGATTTAATAACTGTTCCTTCCCTATTTTTAACTCAACTATCCCTACATGGATACCTTTCCAATTTATATTTGTAATCTCTACTAAATTAAATTAATTCCCACACTCTACCCAAATTGTTTTTATTTTCTTACAAAGACAAAATAAATGCTCGTAAGTTTCTTCATATTTACCACAAAAAAGAACATAAATTACTATTAACCATTTTAAATGTATACAAATGTAATTTAATATATATAATATTATTAAGCATTTTAAATTGAAATTCTTTAAGCTTACTATTCAATGTGTATTTTCTAAGTCTTAAAAATATTAATTGTATATCTTTTCCATGAATATTATAAGTCTGTTTTAAATTTCGTTCTGCATATGATTTTTCTACTCTCTTATTTAATAAAAAAGCGTATATAATTTTTGAGGTTATTTGATCTAACATATATACCTTTTCAAACATAATAATATCCATATCTAATTCCCTATCTATATTTTAGTGAGTATTTTTATTTAAAAATTGTTTCCATGAAGGGGGGATGCCAAGAAAAATACGTTGTATTTTACTAATTTCTAAACTATGTAGGAAATGAGCTATTAGGAATACAATATAGAGGGCGCTGCTCGGTAGTGACCACCGTTGGCTTTTTCTCTCTGTTTTGACTTCAACTCTTTCCTGTTTTTTTTCTCATTTGAAACGATGTGTTAATTCATCCGTCATCATGCCAGGTGAAACTCTTGCATTGCGTGTATATGCGCTTGTATTTGTCTTGTCCATCATTTCCTGTCATTTTTCTATTGTTATATTGTATTTTCTATCATTTGTATTTTCACTGTCAAAAAAGCCATTGGAAGCAAAAATTCTATGTAATGTTTGCATGCATGGACCAATAAAATAATCTTGAATCTTGAATCTTGAATCAATCATAAACAGATCAATATTCACAAATTTCCATTAGAAATATTTAGGTCTTTACTATCGCATTCACTAATTACCTGCAAGCTATATCCCAAAGAAAATTATAACTCTTTCATTTTGTTTTCATTTGTTGTTGTTGTTGAAAGGCCTTCCAACTTAAGTGACTTCTCGGGGGCCTGTTTGACAATTTAAAAGAATTACATTTTTGTTGAATAGGTTATTACACAAGTTCGTACTTTGGAATCATATCAGAAAATTGAATCTCACCACGAGATGCATTCAAAAGTAAGTATCAATTGAATCTTAGAAATCATATTTTATTGGAGATTGGGGCCGGTGTATGATTGTTGTAAATTAAAAGCACAACACAAAACAAAATTTCGTTGTAAATAGAATTAAAATGTGAATAATGTAAGTGGATTTTGGTGTGGATATGGGATAAAAGATTACTACTACGCAGGCAGTCAAGGGGGAAATTTATTGTTCTGTAATGGCATTGACAAGTGAGTCAGTTTCAACAGCAGCTCTGCGAAAGAACAACCCCCGGTCTACAATAACAAAGAAAGAGTGGTTTCTAAAGACATCGAAAACACTTTATATCAACGTTGAAATTTCAGACATTCATCTGTTTTGGTAACAGCTTTACATGTTTATCAATTTCACCCTCTCCGCCTTTCTTTCACCGCCCCCCCTCTCTCTCTCTCTCTCTCTCTCTCTATCTCTCTCTCTTTCTTTCTCTCTGTCTTTCTCTGTCTCTGTCTCTTGTCTCTGTATTTGTCTTCCTCATGCGATCTTAAAGGTACCACAGACATTTTTACGGGTGTTGGAAAGTCTCTTTGCATAGCTAAGACCAATTTTCATTCTTTTTAAATTTCACGCCTGACTTGGAGATGGCTCCTTCCCACAAAGATTCCGGTAGGTAGCATAAACGCTCCAACCCCGCCTTACCACATCCCCGATCATACTCCCCTGATAGACGCCAGCTACGACACATCCCATAACATGACTGAACTCGAAACCTTATCTAAATACATGCACGAATACAGAGAGGCCTGTTTGATGTGTTTTACCGAAACCTGGCTCTATGAAAATGTACCAGATAGTGCTGTTGAATTGTTGAACTTTTCTTTAAAGTGGAAATTCAAAGAAAATCACAAATATAAAATAATAATAATAATAGTGGCTACTATTAAATATGCCAACTAATGTATCACTAGAAACTGGTAAGCTAACAGATGGCCATCGTACAAGTTTTAGGTCAACTACATATCGGGTGATTTATAACAATACAAATACAACCACCTCTATAGCATCTGGGATATACATGAGAATCGCCAGAAAAATAACGATGTTTTAATGACGTCGCATAATGGACCAATACTGCCCAAGCAGACCACATCCCTCCCATAAAGAATGAACATAATCAACCATATTGCTGTACACACGCGCGATTAAAAAAAACGAGTAGAAAGGGTACCGGTACTTTTTGTTGGTTAAGGCAAGATATGTGCTTGACGCGTTTAGGGTGCAAAAACGCCAAAGATCGGAAAAAGGGGTATGTTTCTGGAGTTAAATGAGCAAAAATCAGAAAAAGTTATGTTTCTGGAGTATGTCAACTCACGCATCAGGGGCCGCGAAACGGGGGGGGGGGGGCTGCAGTTAGACCCCTTACTTTTTTTAGTAGACACCTTTCATAAAATCTCCAAAAAAAAGGGGTTTATAAATTGTTTGCATGCTCACTCTACTAACAATTTAGTGTTTTGATAATCGTTTTTAAATTTTCTTTGAAAAAAAAGAAAGAGGGGATGTGGAGGGGGAGTCTATAATAAGATAATCCAGAAAGTGCAAAAAACAAACACTTTTGGTCATGCTCTGTGCTTATAACTTTGATGTTTTCTCTTCCTTTTAGACAAGTGATTATGTTATTTTTTTTAATGATCTAATTTTCACCATAATCGCATACTTGGTCGTATTGATTTTAGTTATTATTTTGCTACGTTTTGTAATAAATAAAATAGGGGGGGGGGTGGGGGGTAGCCTTATAAAGCTCCAGACTAGATTTGTATAAAGATCAGAAAGTACCCCGCCCAGAGTGTCAACGCGTACCATGAAGGTATTTACAAGAGCGCCATCTCAATGAACACATACCACACAAAAATTATACTAAATACTTATAAGATGTATAATAATTTACTGTTCATAGATGATTTTTTAAATAATTAGCAATTTTCTAAGTGTAAACTTTTTTGGGACTCACGCTGTATATTACCCATTTAAACCAAATGGTAAGTGAATTTAAAGCTTTATTGAATTTATTGGGTGTGATTTCTCGAATTCCCATACCTTCCTCACTATGTGAAATTAAAAAAAATAGATGTTCAATAGTTCTTCATGCAAAAAAACAGAATGAACATGCGCTACTTGATTTAACCTATATTTTACACAAATAAGAGTTTGTTGGAGTAATGCAATTGATCAAGCAATATTAAAACCATCTGTGTGTAACGTCTTGTATTGTTTTGTATGGTATATATAGAATTAAAACAACGCCATTTCTGTAATGAGATTTGTTGTCGAATTTTCTCTTCCCATGTTCTTTCCTTTTTACGTTATTTTATACCCTTCCTTTTACCATTGAAACGTAGATAATTTTACATCCTTTTCTTTGCTTCATCAAAGTACTAAGAGTATATGGTCTAAGTGAGTTGGTAAACTTCATTAAAGGTTGTGAAAAACTGTCCAACCTTTCACCAATCTCCTCTTTTATAATGAAATATGTTAGGTAGTCAAAAGAAATATTGTAAGTTTCAATAATTTTGTTGTCTGCTTAAAACTTTACCATCTACAAATCTTACACCCTTCTGGTTCCAGTGTCTAAATTTAACAACGTTTTTATTTATTACAATGTCTTCATTGTGGAAAAGGAGTTCAGAGCAAAACTCTTCTTTGCTGGAGCATTTATTTGCCCCTTCCAAAAACACACCACGAAGAAACTACATCTTTCCAAAAAGGATTCGTTATTAAATCAATAAACTTTTCTAAATAACTATAACCGTAAAGTGAAAAATTACAATCTGAGAATGGAACAGAGCTCATAAAAGATTTTAAACACATACTGTCGATGAATCCGTTATACATATCCAAGTTATTTTTGAGCGAAGTAAAGAAACATTCTGTATTAACCATCTTCACACCTCCATCCATATATGAGTTACACACTTGGATACAATCAGATTTCTTTCTCCACAAACAAAATGAATGATAGCTTGTACAGCTCTTTAATGAACGCGGGTTTGGCAAAGTAAGAATTAAATAGTTAAATTTTGAAAGAAAAAGCGTCCTGACGAGAGTTACTTTACCTTATGGGGTTATGTTCCTATTTGACCAAGCTGGGATTAGTCGTTTCACTTCATTCAAAGCTGGCATATAATTAGTCCAGAATCTGCACGGTCCTTTATAATTTCCCTACACACTTGATTCAAGCCGTCGAAGATGGCGTTATCAACAAACTCATAATTATGCTCACCGCAGCCAGCCGGCGTCCTAATTTAATGATCACGCCATCATCGGCTGGTAGCAAGTAAGTAGGGAGAGGTAGCGTTGGTGTGGTGGAGATCAAAATTAAATAGGCCAAATTCTGGACTAGCATATAATCAAAGATACCATGTTATCTCAATTTAAAGAAAAAATAATTCCTAAAGATGTGAAACAACCATCGTCAACCCACAACAATTTCGTTCTGGTTTTTATTCTGTAAGGGCTGTAATTTTTTGATCCAATCCAAACTATTTTAGTTTTACTTTAATTAATTTGTAATCATTGAAGAAAAAAGAATCAATCACAAAAAGGGAACTGTTCAGAGACTCGTTTGAACCATCTAAAAAAGGGTTGCATCGTCAGCACACTGTATAAATTTGTTGACATTACCTTCAATATCTATACCTTTAATATATTTATTTTGACGAAGTAAAATGGCCAAAATGTCTGCACACATATAACAAAAAAAACGTTTAGACCAATAACGATTGATGTAAAGTGAAGACTTGTTTTCATTATACCAAGTTTGAATCCATCGACTAATAGAAATCCCCAAATTGAATATTTATAATGTTTTAAACAAAAATCTATGGGAGACCGCATCGAATGCCTTTTCGAAGTCATGATAGCATCCCATGAATATTATATTACACCTCTATTATACTTCTATTGTTGGATCTGATGGTTTACCAAGTGCGATCAGTTTCTTCTCAAATACCCAATCAGGTTTCTCAGTCCTTGTGTGCCAGACTAGTACCTGGTTGAATGAAATAAAGAGTAAAAATAAAATTTCATAATTAAAATAAGAAAAATATTATCTTAATCTATTCATTTACAAGGTATATTCGATTACAAGAAAATATTCCTTAGTGCTTCCAAACTCCAAAGTAATTAAATTGTTATCACTATAAGTAATACGCTAAGGCTCCGCGGGGGGCGCGACGTCTCCGCCGGCCTTTGTATTCTATTGTTTTTTAATGAGATCGCCGACCGAAGTTGGTGCAGCTATCTCCTCCTGAACCCTCCCCTCGGGGTACCGGTAACCGGTGCCGTCGTCCGCGGGAGAGTCAACTCTGTCGAATTGGCTATACTCCGCCCGAGGTCCTCCTCCGTGTCGACGTCCAGGGCGAAAACAGACGCGATATGCATAATGCATGATATGCGTGACGACAGAGAAACCTCATGGATATTCAACATAACATCCGTAGACACACGACCGATGACTATCCACTCACATTAAGTTACGTATTAAATGCACGCTGAATGGGTATGACTTACCCCGTGTTAGGTATCTTCCTGTATGATATTCTCTATATAGACCGCGCCGTCGATCACACTCATTTCTTTGCAGTTCTCAAAGAGACACACAACAAATGACCAACCACTCACATTATGTTGCGTATTAAATGCTCTATGCAAAGGGCGGGATCACCGAGAGTAAAGCGTCTTGCTATAGGATGTGCTATAGGATGTGCTTTAGCGCTGCACAAGCCACAGAGATACACACGAAGCTTCCCGTCCACGTCCTAACTTAGAGACCTATTTCCATCATGATTGCCGCGATTTTTATATAGTTTTCGTGAATGGAGGTATGAAATCAAAGCTTATTTTGTGATTATTACGGCCATGTATACATTTTGATTATCATTTTCTAAAGGAAAGTTTTCACAAGAAAACCATTGGACTGACAGTTCAGTCGCAAACTGCCTTCAATCAACACGCAGTGCAGTGTGTGTGAGTTGAGATGAGCTTGCAGGAAGCTCCAACACCGGGACCGCGCCCCGCAGGCGTCCGACGCCTGCGGCGCCGGTGTTGAGCTTCCTGCAAGCTCATCTCAACTCATTTGACACTTTGAAATTGTTATCTGTTGGTTTGCATCATTATTGCCGCGATTTCAATATAGTTTCGTGAATAGATTTACGAAACCTGAGCTTAGAATTAGTAAAAATATTACTAATGTCTACGTTTTTAAACGACTGTCTGATTTTCTTGTGAAAATTTTACTTTGAAAAATGATTATCGAAATTCATGGTCAGAAATAATCACAATCTAGGTTCATTATGTTACAGTTCTTGCATCAAATCAATGCATGAAAACTTAGTTATTGAACTAGAAAAATGTTTTTTTTTTTTAAATAGGCAATTATGAAGTAGGAAGCCTGAAACCTTAGCCTACTAAATAAATCTCAACAAAGTGTAGGCCTATCCTTTTATGAATTAATGAAAAAGTAGCCCCAGAAAAAAGAGCCCCCGAAAGTTGAAAAAGTAGCCCCCCAAAATTTCCCAAAAATTTGAAATGGAGCCTCCAAAATGAAAAACTTAATTTTTTGCCTGCGCCCCCCTCTAGAATCCCTCGGATTTCCGCGGGTCCTGAGTTGAGTGTATATATAATATAGGGGTGGGGTCCACGGGTTTCAAGGGGCCATAAACCCCCAAGAGCTCGGGGGTTACATTCTTCAAAGTTGGGGGGGGGGGAGAGATCAGATCGCAGCGGGTTGAGTGTATATATAATATAGGCGTGGGGTCCACGGGTTTCAAGGGGCCATAAACCCCCGAAAGCTCGGGGGGTTTAGGCGTTTAATTAGGGTCAGATGAGCATATTTTTAATACTTTATTTGTGACACTTGCGAGTCACTAATTGGCGTGGGGTCAGTTGGATCGTTTTTTTATTTTTTTTATATAAGGCCAAATTAAAAAAAAAACATGTTTGGCGTCCTGTTTTTTCGAAAAATGGGAAGGAGGAGGCCCTTTTTTTTTCTTTCAAAATGGCCGCTCGGTACATTTTCCCTGACATTCGGGCTATTTTTCAAGATGGCGGCCGACAATTTTTTTTTTTCTTTTTTAAAATCAGAAATACATTTTAGCAGTGCTTTTCATGTTTTTTTTCTTCAAAAAAAAAAAAAAAAATAGGAGGCGGCCCCCAAAAAGTAAGCGGGCGGGGACGCAAAACATTTTTTTAATGGCCTGAATGGCAAATAAAGTTCTTGGTGGTTTTAATTTAGACAGTCTCTATATATCTATTTACACCCCCCGCCCCCCTCTAGAATCCCGCGGATTTCCGCGGGTCCAGCTAGTCCCCATATAATCTTACATCTCTCGTCTGGTAAGCAGGCGCGCCGGAAGCAGTTTTGGATTGAGGGGGGGGGGGGGCAAACATTCCAGGGGGCTCACCTTCCAGGGGCAGTGACGTAACGAGCAAAAACGTTTGGAAGGGGGGGGGGCAGAAGAAAAATCTGCATCACCATCACTCTTACACGTTACATGCAGGGCAGGCCCCGCGGAACGTTTTCAAAGTGGATTATTAAAAATCAGGTAGAGCGTAAAATGGCGTGGGGTCCAGGGCCTGGGCCCCGGTAGCGGGTCAAGGGGCTGAGCCCCCAGAAGTTTAGGGGTTTTAGGCATTAAAATTATGGTCAGATAAGCATATTTAGATACCTTATTTGTGACACTGGCAGGCCACTAATTGGCGGAGAGTCCAGGGAGCAGAGCCCCCGGAAGCTCTAGGGTTTTTAGACATTTAATTACGGTCGGATGAGCATCCAGGGCCCCGCCTTAGGGCCCTTGTTGGGGTCTGGGGGCGGAGCCCCCGTAAGCTCTGGGGTTTTAGGCATTTAATTACGGTCAGATGAGCATATTTTGATACCTCATTAGTGACATTGGCAGGTCACTTATTTTTTTCCTCTTTCTTTCTTTCTTTTTCTCTGTAACAAACTTGTCAACAATTGAGGGTGGCACGAGTCCCCGAGCCCGGCCGTTCTGCAGACCCTAACATAGATGCTTCTAAATAAGCATATTTTTCGCCCGACTGTAAATTTGTAAATTTCAAATTTTCCAACAAACGCATAAAAAGGTATGACTAACAAAAAAAAAGAGAAAATATACCGGAAAATCTTGTCATTTCAGCAACATTTGTAAATCACTGGTATCGAATAAAAAAATACCCCCCCCCCCATCAGTACGCCAGCGTTCAGGGGCTCATAAGCTTCTCACCCCTAACAAAAAAACAGACACGCTTTCCCATTCTCTCGCAATATGTCCACCATATGCGCGTATCGCTATTATAAAAACCTCCATTGATAAATATAGGTAGCATGCGCAATGTTTAGGAAATTTAATTCCTGTTAACTTTCTTTTTCTTTGAATGGAATCTCATACGTCATTTAATCAGGTTTTTATTATTGTCATGTTCTTTTGGGTTAAAAATACAAACCATCTTTACTCCTTAACTGCTTTTTTTTTTTTTTTTTGAGGGGGGGGGGCGTTTTTGGGGGGCAAAAATGCGTTGTTTTTTTTTTGGGGGGGGGGGGCAGCTGCCCCTGCCCCCTGCCCCCCCCCCCCCCCCCACTTCCGGCGCCTATGTATGCTGGTAAGGCACTGAAACCTTCGAAAAAACATTGTCACAGTACCCATTTATTCAGTTGGGTCTAGGCAGACAATGTCTTGCCAACAGACATTGGAGCAATGGGAGGGATGTGAACTCCATAATAGCCTGGCCAATTATCCACTAGAAATTAACACTTCTCACTTGATTTGGTTTGATTTGATTTGATTTTCTTCTGCATTCATGTAAGTACACAGTTTTTCGATAACAATAATAATATAAAGTACAATAACTATTTTTCTGACAATGAATCATAAATAAGCAAAAAAGAAATGATAAACTGTCATAAATGCTACATTTCCTCAAACGGTATTAAACATTATACAATTAATTGTGGAAGAAGGGCTGTCATTGTAAGCAGATTGCTTGATAGTACGACAGCCCCAGACAAAACTCATGAAATAGATTAACATATTTATTAAGCAGAACGGATAGGTAATTAAAAATTCAAATTTCGATGATGGTGATATTGGAAATGCAGATGAGGCTGATGATGATGATGAGGATGAGTTTCATAGGTCAGGACCATGGTGTCTTATGGATCTATGGGCAATAAGTAATTTCGGGTTGACTAGATGCAAAGTTGAGGAATTACGGGTAGGGTAAGAGTGAATGGCTTTACTTTCATAGTGTAAAAGTTTTGAAATGAAAGAGGGAGCATATTATTTAAATACTTAAACATGATCAGTAAACTTTGTATATTAGCGATTTATGTCGAATACTGTAAGGGCTGTTAATGTTGGTTTTTTTGCCCATACAAATATGCTTTTCTATAATTTTAATATTCTTAAAATATCTGACTTGCACTTATATAATATTGGAATATTTATGTATGAACTATCGAAAGATAATTTACCAGATGCTTTCGTCCCCTTTTTTCGACGCAATAATACTATACATTCTTACCCTACTAGACAGACAAATCATTTTCATCTCCCTCAAACTTGCACCGTTTTTGCTAACAAAACAATTATTTTTACTGGACCCAAATTCTGGAACAGCCTGAATAACGAACTAGTTGAAAGCCCCTCCATTAATTAATTTAAACGAAAGCTCAGGTGTTTCCTTTTGAGTAAGTATGTATAAAAGTAATGTTGATGTCGCGCTGGATCGTACAGGCGGTCGTACAGGTGGTTATACAGACTTTGTTCTTGTTATTTTACAATGCCATCCCGACACGGCACTAATATCCTTTGGCAAGATATTAACCTGCAATTGTTACTCTCCACCCAGGTGTTAAATGGGTACCCGGTAGGATGCGACCGTCATTGTTGGTCAAACAGTTTTTGAGCGTCATGTAATGCCTGGCTGGAATGCTCCCCAGGGAGTGGAGATTGTGCACACATTGTGTGCGGGCAAGCACTTAATCCAATGACCGGGGTAATAGTATATTTGTAAAGCGCTTAGAGACATTTGTATTAAGCTCTATATAAAAATTAAAAATATATTATTGATTTCGTCAATTTGCTTTCTCTTATTCTTCTTCTGCCTCTTCTTCTTCCACTTCTTTTTCGTCTTCCTCTTCTTCCTCTTTCTTCCATTCTTCACCTTCTCCTACTTATCATTATTATATTATTTTCTTTACTCTTTTTTTTTTTCGTTTCTTCTCAAATTCACTCTCCTTGTACGTCTCTAGAATCTCATACCATACTACTCCGTTTTCGCCTCCTATACTACCTTTTAAATCCAGACCTACTATATATTGTGTTACTCAGAACGGGAGCCTAGCTATTCACATACAAGCTATGCTTTTTATTTTTAGGCTCCCCACATTTTACATTGTTCTACCTAGCCTTTTATATATACATATTTCGAAATTTCGAACTCAGTTATTTTCAGTACATTATATTTGATGTGAATCCTTTAAGTTTGTTCTGTTTTTTTTTTCTTGTGTGAAATCTACTCTTATAATAATATACGCCTGTACAAAAAAAGAAAGGAATATAAACTTTTTTTTCTATGTAAAATGTGGAATAAATAAAACTTCAAACTTCAAACTTCAAGGGTTTTCAGTTTGTAAAATATTGGACTTGTGTGAGATAAATATAGTGAACAAGTAAATATACCAAGGGCTTTCTTTTGCAATAAATAAATGTATGATTTTGGGTTTTGCGCTGGTGGCCCCATACTAAATTGCAATATGTAATATACGGTAATATCAATGAATTATAACGCATAACAAGCGTATAACATGGGATTAATTTCTTCATTTTATATAATAAACCAACATTCCTAGAAATAGAAGTTGAATGGGTATTTACAGGATCATGTCACTTGAGCATCTAAACCTAATGTTCACTATTGTACCATCAACCTGAAATGTGGATCTTCTGATGGGTCCTCCAACTTTTTGCATATTTTAATTTCAGAGCCTGTTAAACAAATCAGTTGAAATTTGGTTGTTCAGCTTATTTCTTTGACTGGACAGACTGCCTCTATTATAAGTGTTGGTAGACATGGAGACCAGTCAGTCATTTTATGTCAGGATTTCTATGGACAATCATCACAGCAGATAGATACCTTTGAACACTTCTCTGCCAGAGGCTCCAAGTCTTCCTTCTTAAACCCTAGCTGAACAAGAAGGGTATCCTCCACATAACCCGGCCTTGAGTTGAGGTCAAACCTAACACGTGGCTGCTGCCTGAAGTGTTTCAGACTCACTGCAAAGCCAGCCATGTCAGTTGCAAAGGCTCGATCGGGTGCCCACATTGTGTGCCATGAGGACACCTTTCCTGCATCGTTTAAGATAGGGCCCTCAAAGCGAAGCCCACCAGCTAGTCCCACAGGCCATACACTCACCTTTTGAGTCGTTCTCATCTGCAATGAACATGAAAAACATGGGAGTGAGTTATGCGAATAAAACAGGGCTTTCATCCACCATACATGCAGTCTCAATATCAGTAGGTTTGAATATTTTTACCTGCTGGACCTTAACCTATTCACAGCAGGCAAAACAATTGTCTGCATGAAATTTATCCCTTTTTGCCTGTCATGTATCACGTTGTCATTAAAATGAGTTCCCATGAAGCAAAAAAAGCACACATAATCTATCTCTGTCGCTGTAGTGAATATCTTATTATAGCTTATTTTCTTTTTGTTCCATGCACACTTAAATATCAAAATCTGAACTCTCATTTCCTTCTGTAAATTATGAGATCATGCTCTTAGTACCTTCCTTTGCAATGACTGATGTTATTGAATTTCTTTGGATGCAAAGCTATACATTCTGCCCATATACACCCTAAGTATATCAAGAAATATATTACCCTTTCATTATAATAGGACTCAAGTAGGATCCGTTCTGTTACAGTACTAATTTTTTTAATTAGCTACCAGAAATACTCTTATCTACCTCTTCAAAAAGACGCAAGCTGTATGTGTTGTCATCATCTGCAAAGTAGACTACCCCTTCCTCATCTCGAGTAACATTCTCTAGAATCCAGTCAATACCAATATTCCTCTGAGGAACACCCCGATGTTTCTGTCTGTACTTGTCTTGTGTTCTGACATTCAGGTGAGTGTAGGGCAGGCCAGAGTTTGTCAAGAATCTTGACACAAGCTGGGTCTTCCTCTCGGAATCCTCCACCACAATCCAGTGGAAGTTGCTAACATGGAGAAAAGTCTGGGTCAACCTCACCAGCTCCGCCTTCTGGACCGGCCTGGTGTAGGTTGGTGTGATGGCATAGATAGTCGGAATCCGAGGGCTTTCAGGGCTATTTTTTGAGTCTCCTCCAACAGGCCTAGTTTTTGAGTCTCCTCCAACATGGTACGTTGTGCATCCGGATCCTACAATGACATTGACAAAAAAAAATTTAGTAGCCAGGTACATGATACCGTATACCAGATAAGACCACACCGGTTTAAGACTAGTGGTCGAAATGCATATTGACCACTAGGGGCTCATATTGCATTAGGAAAAGGTACCCTTAATGGAAATTAGAAAGAAATTCTAATAATTCCAGTTATAATAAAGTCAAAGTCATGTAAAAAAAAAAAATCCCCCTGATATTTTCCATAATTGTCACATGTTTTTTTTTTTCTTCCTCTGATAGTTTCAGGACACTCAGTCTGTATCGAGCACACACAAAATCTGACTTTTTTGTGTGTGTTTGCAATATAGGGACAGATTTTTTTTGGTCAAGTTATCTCGGAGATTCAAGCGCTCGCCCAACATGCTTTGGGACAAAGTAATGCACATAATGAATACAAAGCGGTACTTCGCCAAAATTGGCAACAGATTTCGGATTTAGATTTTCAATGTACTGTTTCCAAACCTCTGTGACTTGAATTGATTGTATTTCATAGCTATATTACACCAATAATTTTGTTCTTCAAATATGGTCAAACTATACATCAAGTTTTTCCGTTTTAAGCGTATCAAATTGGTACCCCCCCCCCAAAAAAAAAGGGGGGGGGGGCATGATTGGACATATTAATATTATAGCCACCACACTTAGCTTGACGCAAGAAGAACTGTTGGGCAGGCCTCATGTAGATGGACCTTCATATTAATTAATGGATTTAATGAATTCCGCTCAGTGAATGATAAAAACATTATTTGGAGGTTGAAATATCAATATTTCTGATCGAATAGGTATAAATCCGAGTAAGAGATGACATCAGTTCCATTCCATTTTATTTCCATGGTTGCCAAATGTTCGTTGCCAATATTTTACTCAAAATGACTGTCACATATTGAATTTTTGAGTATTTTGTACCAATTAATTATATATGACCTTGAAATTCTCTATTTTCAGAAAATAATATTTTTTTTTCCTTCGGGGAATGAGGAATGTGGCATTTAAAAAACAGCATTTGGCAAGGTGTCACTCTTGCTGTTTCGTAATAAATTTGATCAATGAAGAAAAGCCCCACCAATGGTCCATACTGAATATTGTACCAATACCAAAGTCTGGAGACCTGAGCCAAGGAGGAAACTATCGAGGAATCAGTCTAAGCTCCATCGTGGCCAAAACTTTCAATAGATTGATTTTGAACAGGATCAGACCTGTACTTGATAGTCACCTGAGAACCAACCAAAATGGATTCAGAGTTGGAAGGAACACAGTGGGACATATTTTGGCACTTCGCAGGCTTATAGAAGGAGTAAAAGAAAATCAGCTCCCGGCTATTATCACATTTATTGACTTTCGCAAAGCCTTCGATGTTGAAGATCCTTACTGCATATGGCATACCGGAACAACTGGTGAATGCTATTGGCAAGATGTACGAAGACACCAAAGCAAAAGTAATATCACCTGATGGAGAGACTGACCTCTTTGAAATCATGGCTGGTGTGCTTCAAGGTGACACGCTTGCACCTTACCTATTTGTAATAGTCCTCGATTATGCCTTGCGAGCAGCTATAGACGGCCATGAAGAAGAACTTGGATTCCAACTAGAAAGAAGGAGAAGTAGGAGAGTTGGTCCGGAAATCATAACAGACCTAGATTTCGCCGATGACATAGCCCTGCTATCTGAGGAATTAGAGCAAGCCCAAAAACTCCTGAGCAGGGTGGAGACATCGGTAGGCAAGGTCGGGCTCCGGATGAATTCAGGCAAAACCAAGTTCATGTCATTCAATCACAGGGGGATCATCACTATAAAAACAAACGATGAAACTCAGTTGGAGAATGTACCTGATTTCAAGTACCTGGGAGCACTGATGGTGAGCACAGAAAAAGATGTGAAAGCTCGTAAGTCAGCAGCATGGAGAGCGTGTAGCAAGCTTGGAAGAATCTGGAAATCTTCTCTTCCTAGGCAGTTCAAACAACGTTTGTTTGTTGCTACAGTTGAATCTGTGCTTCTATACGGCTGCGAAGCATGGGCAGTTACAACAAAGCTGGCAAAAGAATTAGATGGTTGCTACACCAGACTTCTTAGGACAGCATTTAACGTGCACTGGAGCCAGCATATAACCAATAAGGAGCTGTACGGGAATCTACCAAAAGTATCAGAAAAGATCAGGGAAAGAAGACTACGTTTTGCAGGCCACAGCTGTAGGAACATCAATGAACCAATATCTCAGCTTTTACTCTGGAAGCCTAAACACGGGAAGAAGAAACCTGGAAGACCTCATCTTACTTATACAGACCTACTCAAGAAGGATACGGGACTTGAACTGTCAGAGATAAAAGCAGCCATGCTGGACAGGAATGTGTGGATAGCCATCACAGCTCGGGCAGTTGACCCGACTTAAGCAAGTAAGTAAGCAATAAATTTGCATAGACATGTTACTTTTAGGGTCATCAAAAATGAGCCCCCTCATGCGGTTTCATAAGTTCTACCATAGACTTTACCATTACAGTTTACAGCTACAAATGCAATCGTGGCACAACGATATGCGTGCAATGACGCCGTGTTTCTACATGTCAAACGAAAGAGCTTCTCTCGGACCATCCAAAGCAATTTGTCAGAAGTATGTAGCTTCTGTGATGGTTGAGATAGGTATCTAGGGCGAAAGAAAGGCCTCAAAAATGGCCCGACTGAACGGTAAAAATGGCGCCTGGAGAACGAACTGAGATTTCAGTGACCTTGATGGGATGCTAGAGACTACGTCTAAGAAATTTGAAAAGAATTGGGATAGAGGAAGGGACCTATAGAAAGGGCTCATAAGCAGGCACGTAGCCAGAGATTGATGTTTTTTTTTCTGTTTTTTTTTTTTTGGGGGGGGGGCACATACATGTAATCGATCGAGGTAAAAAAAGGGGTCTAAGAAAGTTCAACCGATCTTGGAAATATTTTTTTGGGGGCGCACGTGCCCCCCTCCCCCGTGGCTACGTGCCTGCTCATAAGCGCAGCGAATGGAATTGTGGTAAATGTGAAGAACACATGATGACGCATGCTGTGGCAGAAATGGCCATCCAAACTAACATAATCATGCAGAGTATAAAATTTCGTCTTAGAATCCTGTTTCGGGCTGCCCTGCGTTTGGCCACTCAGAATACGCTTACAAAATTTCGAGGTAAAAAAGGACGGTAAGGGGGCGAAAAGCATCATTCAAAAGGGCATTCATTGCGGTCAGTCGGCTGTTACGTAATGCATAGTAAAATCATAATTTTGGGCGATAACTTTACGGGTACTTTAATTTCATTGACTAAGGTATAAAGATCGCCATTATAAAGCGAGTTGAAGTTATTTCGCAATTTTCTTAATAACTGCATATTTGGAGGGCAATTTTCGCAAAGTGGGTCAGCGTTAGGGTAAATATGTTTGCATTTGGCTGGAAAGGGCATATCTTCAAGTATCTAAATCCAAAAAAGGTGCGGGTTTGCAGGCGCGGATCCAGGATTTTCCAATAGGGGGGGGGGGGGGGCCGGAAATTCGAAATTCGCGCAGACCGTTATTTAAACTTACCAATACTGACAAGGTCATATTAGAAGCACTGTACTTTAATAGTGTACTGGTACCTACAAACGGGCACCATTATTTTGGAAAGGGGACATGCTCACGTCACATCTCTTGTCCGATATCAACATTCCCCGTTTTCAAGTTATGCTCGCGCGCAATTTTTTTGACATTTCCATCAGTGGGGGCTGAAGCCTCTTGCTCCAATATCTGTTTCCTGGTTTAATAATTTGGCGAGCGAGCGAAGCGAGTGAGCGGAATTTGAGCTTATGTATATATGTTGTGAAAGTGTTAATCGTCACCAAAATATACGAGATAAGATATAACAAATGCATATTGGTATTTTTTAAATTTTCGGGGAAAGAGAGGCTGCAACCCCATCCCGCATTAAACTGCAGGTGTTTTGAAATCAAATCAGACTCCCCCAAAAAGTATAAACCAAAACGCACGAATCCAGTTTCAAAAATCCAAAAAATGTCAGCTTCAGAGGGGGGCACATCACCCCTCAGACTCCCTCTAAAAGTATTAACCAAATCGCACGAATCCAGGTAAAAAAAATTCAGCTTCAGAGCTAGAGAGGAACCCCCCCCCCTCCCCACACACCATGGGTGTCGATCCTCACGTAATACTTATTCATCAGGGGGGGGGGGGGGGTGAATGAATAGATCATCCCCCCCTGATGAATAGGTATCAGTGACAGATCGACACCCATGCCACACACACACACACACACATACAGACACCCCCTGTGCGCGCAAGCGCAAAATTAACGCTGGCGCTAATGCGTAAGCAGGGGCGGCGGAGCTATTTCCAAAGTGGAAAGCACCAACAAAAAAGGGCACCTACAAAGCGAAATCTCAAAGCGAAAATATACATTTTTTTAGACATTGGTATATACCCTTTTATTGTGATTCCATTATCAGGGACGATTTCAATATTTGTTTTTCTTTATAAAAAGATATTGCTTAAGCATCACACTTTCGGCTGGGTGTGATTGTCTGAATATTTATTTGCGAGCGAGAACAAAATGTAAGATCTGTGAGGTCGCAGAGTGAAAAATTACATCTTATAAAGAGGAAAAAAACAAATCATGATGGGGTTATAAGCATCACGGAAGACTGAAAAAACTTTGTTTTAAAGTGACATATAATTGTATCATCTATAAATGCGAGGGAGCGAGCGAGCTTTAGGGGAAATTACTCTTAGTCGCTTTAAATTAGGTGCAAGACTAATGATGAGCAAGTTAGGGGGGCACGTGCCCCCCCCCCCCCGTGCCCCCCATGGCTACGTGCCTGATGATGAGAGGTTAAGGGGACACTTATCGAAAGGGATAAAGACACTTAAAAAAGGAGCATGTGTCAAGGTACAAAGAGTAATTATCAAAGATTCAAACGGGGCACTTCTTACACCTGAAAGGAGGCACTCACCAGAAATGAGATAGGGCACTTATGAGTATGGGAAATGGGCATTTGTCGACGGAAAAGGGGCATCCATCGGAAATTGATTTATCAGAGGTGAAAAGGGGCATTTATGAAAAGGGGATAGGTCCCTTATTAGAAAGGAAAAGGGGAACGATTCAAAATAAAAGGGCAGTTAGCAAAGGTGAAAATGGGCACCCATCATAGATGAAAAGAGTACTTATCAGGAGGGGAAGGGGTACTTTTCAAAGTAAAACGAGCATCTCTCAGATTTGAATAGGGGAAATTATCGGAGGTGAAGAGAGCACTGAAGTGAAAAGAATTAACTTCTCATATATGAAAATGGTCATTTACCAGAGATGAAAAGGGACACTTTTTATTTATGAAGGGCCTCATTTTTCTAAATAGCCCTTATCAGATAGGAAAGGGGGCACATGTGTTGATGAAATGTGCGCTTATCCGAGTTAAAAAGGGGAAGGGGCACTTCTTAACAAAGTAAAAGTGGCCCTTTGGGGGGTACTTGAAGAGTGGGGCGAACTTTGCCCCCTACCCCTGCCACCCGCCCCATCATCTGAAAATCCAAAATGATGTTGTAGGGGCCGGGCGCGGCTTTATCATGAGTGTTTTTATGTGAACCTCTTTTAAAAAAATATATTATGCTGGATTCCGACCCAGATTGCACACTCTAAAATGAAAGTATGATCATCCCCAATACGCTTGCAGTTCACGTATGCACCCCTTCCTCCTAATCCATCGTTACCGTCACTGCCATTTACGTATGGCCGGCCGGTGTCGTGGCGTTATGTGTCTTAGCGAATTCACGTCTGTACAGACGCATATCGCCAGGCGATACGCGTCTTAGAGACGCGTCTCGCCGCATTCCACCGGCGATATGCGTCTCCTAGATGGGCGATATGAGTCTGCGATTGGCGAAAAGTGTCCACTCTATTTGTTAACGTTTATTTTCAGAAAAACCTTAAAACAGAAAGTTTGGCGTATTATTTAGTTGTTTTTATGTTTGAAGTGTTATGATTTTATAATGGGGCGTTGCAAAAAATGTTGAGTTGCATTCGATTGCAAATAACTTATATTTTGCAACTATATCAAACGAAATATCTACATTAAAACAAAATGGCGATATATTTTCAATAATTAAGTTTAATGTCAGTATAACTTAAATGTCAATATATTTCTAATCATCCTCGGGACAATTATTCACTGCACAGCCATTAATTTAAATCGTGTAACATGTCTACATGCATGTATATTCGGAATACGAGTCTGAATTCTTAGACTGGGCGCGCGGAAATGTACGTACGTACGTACGTCCAGGCCGCGCATATTTTTTTTATTGTTCAGTCAAGTATACTGTGCGAATGACTGGAGACAGAGTCTATTTTTGGATTGCTGGAGCTGTACATACTCGGGCGTGTAGCTAGCAGCGGCTGTGATTAGCCACATTAATTGTAGGCAGGGGCGGCGATCCCAGGGGGACGGGGACACGTCCCCCGGAAATCCGAAAAAGTGCAAAAAATGAATATCAAATACTGACTACAGACTGCAACACACTTATAAGCTCTGGAGGGCCCAAGAGTACAGCGTTTAGACTAATAAAAATGCAAACAAATATTCTCGCTCGTTCGCTATAGCATCCCTTGCATAATATCCTTCAAAACATACAAGTAAATATTGTAGAAAATCTATATATTCCATTGGTATCACGTAAGCACAGTTTACACTGTATATTTACAAGATTAAGAGTTATAGAAATAGATCAGTGCTAGTGTGCTACAAAAATGAATATTCCGCTTGCTCTTTTCAGTAAGGAGTAATACAACATATTAAGTGTATATATTTGCCAGGCTGATAATTTAAAATCGGTAGAGCAGTAGTCTTGTCATCCGGTGACCCGGGTTCGAAACCAAGTCAAGGCGCTAGTGCCCTTTTGGAAGGCATTAATCCTCATTACCAGGCAACTTATATGTTGCTATGGTTTGTGGTATTGTAACAGGTGGTCAACTTTGGCAAAGTTACATGCCACTTTCTCAAGTTAGCACATTGATGACTGACAGATGATGTCACAAGGGGAATGAGATCTGGAGGTTTTTGGGGTGGAGCTTAGCAAGTTTGAAAAACAAATATTTCAACAAATATTTAAAAATCTATGAAACAAATTCAGAAGTTTACATATCAAAATAAGAGATGTATGCAGGACTGCACACCAACAGGAATACACTTGTATTTCGATGTCATGGGCCATTTAAATCATTGGTCTGGAAACAATTATTTGCCCATTGTTGCATATTGTATTACATTTTCACTAACGATGAATTTACATTGTAATGCAATTTTCACGTTTCCCAGGTCTATTTAGGAGAATAGAAGATTGATATTGTTAAGTTGTTCGATAACATCACTCAATTCGATTTGATTGGAGATATATCTCAGTAAAGGCTATTATACTCTCAAACAAATCTACACTATTAAACTTCAAGCTCACTCACACATGATATATTGCGACACTTTCAAGGCTACTTATTATTTCAAGTTTATGTATATACAAACGGCAACAGCTCCAATATTAAATGAAGTTCTTCTCACTTAAATCGTCGGTCTGGAAACAATTATTTGCCCATTGTTGTATATTGTATAACATTTTCACTAACGATGAATTTACATTGTAATGCAATTTTCAAGTTTCTTAGATTTATTTAGGAGAATAGAAGATTGATATTGTTTAAGTTGTTCGATAACATCACTAAATTTGATTTGATTGGAGATATATCTCAGTAAAGGCTATATAGTCTCAAACAAATCTACACCATTAAACTTCAGTTTATGTATATACAAACGGCAACAGCTTCAATATTAAATGAAGTTCTTCTCACTTAAATCATCGGTCTGGAAACAATAATATTTGCCCATTGTTGTATATACTTGTCACTTGTTATATTTGTTATATGATACTAAAGCAAATCGTTACGCTTATCGATAGGATAATGTGAATAACGTGTCGAATAATAACATCATTGCGTGCTATTATTAACCGGACTAGACATGTAAACAAAAATTTAAACATGCATACACTTTTGCCAGCAAGCAAGTTTTTCAACAAAGAATACAAAATGTGAACAATGTTTTACATTTTAGTCAGGACAGATTAGAAGATGCTTTAAAGCATGCCCTATAGTTGAACTGTAACAGTTGTCTTCTAAAGTCTTCCATATATAAATTTAAAGGAGGTCAATAATCATTAAGAAGGTTGACACATCAATTATATTGTGTATACATGTAACAATTTGAAAATATTTTTTCTTGGGGGGGGGGGGGGGGAGGGTGAGGGCGTGGGCAATTCAGAAAGGGACCGATATGTGAAAAATTGGGTAGTACTACTAGCCCATGGACTGTGGCCTAAAATGGAGGTTTACTAATATCCTTCAAAATGTACGAGTAAATATTGTAGAAATATGTATTCTGTTGGTATCACGTAAACACAGTTTACATTGTATGTGTACAAGATTAAGAGTTATAGAATAAGATCTGTGGTACAAAAATGAATATTCAGCTTGCTCTTTTAAAAAGTCCCTTCCTGCCTACTTACTAACATTTACCTAATATATATTTACAACCCTTCGGAATGCACACTAGATACCGGCAAAGTAAAATTGAAGTGTGAAAAAAGTATATTGCTTGTAATTTTTATACTATAGTTTTGCTAAAGAATGTAATTTTGTAATACAACAAACCTGTGAGGGGGTAGCATAGAGCTATATAATAAGACTTATCATATGGCTCTATGGGGGTAGTCACTTCCGTCACCTCCTCCCCGTTCACTGGCGTACTGATGGGGGGGGGGACCAGTACCCCCCCCCCCCCAATAAAATCAAACATGGTTTATTTCTAATTTGATACCAACAATTTACAAATGTTGCTAAAATGGCATTATATTCCCCTGGAATCCCGGGGCTCTACCCCCTGGACCCTTCCGAGGGCCCTAAGGCGGCCCCTAGATGCTCATCCGTCTGATCATAATTTGATGCCTTAAAACCCTGAGATTCTGGGGGCGCCGCCCCCTAGGCCTCACTCCAAATTAGTGACCTGCCAGTATCACAAATAAACCTTATCAAAATGCTCATCTGACCGTAATTAAATGCCTAAAGAACTCCTGAGCTTCATGGGGCTCCGCCCTTGACTCCCGCCGGGGCTTTGCCCCTGGACCCCACGCCAATTTAAGATTTTTGCTTCGCTCGCTTTGCTCTACCTGATCGTAAACACTTGAGCCCCCCCCCCTACACCCACACACACACACCCCAACGTTTCTGCTCATTACGCCACTGGCCCCTCTTGCTCACTATGTTCCCTCGTCCCTCGCATTTCGTCCGTCCCCCCCTGGTCATGAAAAGAAATCGCCGCCCCTGATTAAGATTGTAGAAGCCCTAATTGATTGGAGAGCCAGTCAGCTAGCTATTTTTTATTTACACGCTAGCGAGGGGAATTTCTCGATTAATTCCAATGGAACCGCTTAAAATTCCAATGAAACCGCTCGCGAAGAGTCTAGCCTGGATCGGAGAGCTCGCTAGTGCTATACGCTAGTGTGAATTTAAAAGACAATTTCTAAAGACAATTTCTCTCTTGAAAAGGCTCTGCCAGGCCCCTCAAGCTCTTCCATGTTGTATGGATCCATTCGAAAGCAAAATAAGCCCACTCAATAAATAATATATATTAAAACGTCATAGCGATTCATCCAAAAAATAAATCCACGTAAGAGGCATTTTGAAAGTTTTAAGAAAATTCCTTCAAATTCCAGGATATTGGGTGTTATTTTTCAGGAAACTTTATTTAAACGAGTGGAAGCACTGGCGGTTCTGTTTTTTTTTAAACTGTAACAATTCTCCTTGGATCAGATAAAGACCAAAAACAAGCCTCATTATCTTCAGTATACAAGTGTCATTTCGGACCTTACAGCTTTCATAGAATTCGCTTCTGGACCGTCAAAGAAAAAGTTTGAGAACCCCTGGTCTACGCATTATACACATCAGGACCAACTTGACAACTTGACACAAATTTGAGGGGGGGGGGGTTCGACCCCCCCCCCTTGCGTACGCGCCTGCATGTGCATCCCTTTCCTCCTTATTCCCTTATCCATCGTTACCGTCACTACCATTTGAGTAGGGCTGGCCCCCTCCTTAATAACGACTCCCAAGCCATAATTTATAGATTACCATTCTGCGGTTCTTTGGAGGGGCCGGCCGGCGGGCGCGGCCTTTTCAGAAGTGTTTCTACTCTAACCTTTTCATGCACTACGGCTTAACATAAACAAGCATGGTAAGATTTTTTTTAAAAGAAGCATAATTCCGACTCAGTTTCGCATAACCTAAAAATAAGAATACGGCCAGTCACCCCTCCCCCCCCCCTCCCCTCAATGCATCCGCCTTCACGCACCCCCCCTCCCCTCAATGCATCCGCCTTCACGCACCCCCCCTTCCCCTTGTCTTTCCCTTATTCGTCGTTACTGTCACTAATTTTTAGTGCCATTTCGTTGTCTTTCTTTCTCCCCGGCTCCTCTCTTCTTTTTCTTTCCTCTTTTTTGAACTCTCTCTCTCTTTTCTTTTCTTTTTTCTTCTCTTTTCTTTTATCTTCTCCTTTTTTTTCCCCTTTTTTTTCTTTCTTTTTTTCTTTCTTTTTTTCTTCCTCTTTTTTTCCATCTCAATTTTTTTGCGCCGCTAATAGGGGGGGGGGGGGCCGCGGCCGTTTCGGCCCACCCCTGGATCCGCCACTGGGTTTGGGAAGACAGGATGGAGCTTCAACCACAGAATTCAAAGGAAGCAATTTCCAGAACTTTAGAGGGCGCTATATATTTTTCGCATAACCGTCACTTCGTGAAAACACGAGGCGAAACTACATAGAACGCTTTGATTTTGTTTTCACGAAGTCACCGCAGCGCGCGTATAAAACACAGTGGCGGATCCAAGGGGGGGCCGAAACGGCCGCGGCCCCCCCTATTGGCGGCGCCAAAAAAAAGAGGAAGGAAAAAAAGGAGGAAAAGAAGAAGAAAAAAAATGAGAAGAGAAGAGAAAAGAGAAGAAAAGAAAAGAAAGAGAGAGAGCCAGAGAAAGAGAAAAAAGAAAGAAGAGAGCTAGAAGCCGGGTGAGAAAGGAAGAAAGACAAGGAAATGACACTTAGTGACAGTAACGACGAAAACGGGGAAAACTTGGGGGGGGGGGGGGGTATGTGCGTGTAAAATGCGCGCGCATCGAGGGGGGGGGGGGGCTAATTTTTAGGTTGTGCAAAACTGAGTCAGAATTCAGCTTATTTTCAAAAAATTATAAGCATGCTTGTTTATTTTTAAGCCGTAGTGCCTAAAAAGGTTAGTAAAAAATACTTCTGAAAAGGCCGCGCCCGGCCCCTCCAAAGAGCGGCAGTATGGTGATCACAACATTTTGGATTATTCCAGAAGTCTTGGGAGCCTTTATTGAAGAGGGGGCCGGCCATATACGTCAATGGCAGTTACGGTAACGATAGGTGAGGGAATGAGGAGGAAGGGGTGCACATAATTGAGAACTGCAAGCGTATTGGGGATGACCATCTTATCATTTTAGGTTGTGCAATCTGGATCAGAATCCAGCATAATATATTTATTAAAAAAGGGTTCTTGTAAAAGCACTCATGATATATCTTTTGTATTCATTGGATAACAAATTTCAAAGTTAAAGGTAAGACAAAGTTTTGGTATTGGATCATGAATTTGGTTCAAATGAACATATTGGAAGCATTATGCGATCCTACAATATTCAGTGATCGTTGTCGTGGTTAAAATCTAAGTCTAAAGTTATGAAATTGTAAATAATAAACTCTTTATGTTGTATAGCTC